AGGAAAGCCAGAGGCTTGGAGTTTAAAGATAAGTAAGTTATGGTTAACCAAACCAAACGCTTTGCTTAAATCAGTGTATATTACATCTGTGCGAGAACTACTAGAAAAAGCTTTGAAAACAGGACAAGTAAACTCTAACAAATTGGTGACCGTAGATCGCCCTTTCCGAAAGCCATGCTAGTGTGGAGAAATATACGAATTAATGGCAAATGTCATTTCTGAGTCACAATTCGCTCAAACAGCTTAGGCAAGACACTCAACTTGGCTATACCTCTGTAGTTCTAAACAAGTTGTCTACTTCCACTTTTGTGAAAGGGAATAAGGAAACTACTCTTCCAACACAAAGGGAAAGCACCTAAATTCAAAGACCGGGTAAAAATCTTAGAGATAACACCATATAACTCGACAGCGCAAGATTTAAGTGCACATGATGTACATGTATATAAGATTGCAATTACACGTACGTTGACGTGCGACCGCTACTCTTCTTACTATCTAATCGTCTCAAGCTACGTCTAAATATTTTTAATTTCTTAACCACCGTCTCATCGGTTACTAACTGATGAATTTTCTTCCTCAGACGGTCAGCTAACTCCTTACACTGTACTTTGCACACCCTACGCCCATCAATACCCCCTGACTTTGGGTGTCTGTACAAAAGCCTACTTAAGACATCGTCAGGTATATACGCCACAACAAACGAATACAATAACTTAATATAAATAGATAAATAAATAAATTGACAACATACAATTCAACGAGAAATAACCTGAAAACAAAAAATAAGAAAAAACAATTATAAAGCTTGTATAAAAAATCAAAGGGCTCTTCTTATAATTCATATATACTGTATCTATAACTGTGTCTCTTATAACATAAACAGAGTAAAGTCGTTTTTTTATATTCAAATTTATTTGTTATTATTAATTTACATTTTTTACATTAAATATATAGTACATTCTAAATGGTGCTTACATACCACATGGTATTTCTATGGTGGATGAGACTTTTATTGTGACGTCTTGAGATCTTTTTTTTCCTTCTTTTTAACATATCGCACATGATGAACTGTTTCGTAGAGATTGATGAAATCTCGGCAATAGCTCTACAATAGCTTTCATTGACCTCTACAAAACAGTTCAGCTTTAGACTTTAGAACTATAAGCAATCTCTAAAGGTTCTTTTAAAGCATACGACTTGTAAATTTATGTCATGGTTTAATGGTTTTGTATATGTACACAAAAATATGAAGTAAAAAGTGAATAAAAACGCACAGGAAGAAATGTTTATTACTAATATGTTTATTTATGTTTATTATAAATTTAGAAACCCTTTTATTGTTATTTTTTTCCAGAGAAGACGAATGACAAGTAGTGCTACAGTGTTAAGTAAGAAATAAAAGAAGATACATGATTACCTGCCCGCATGCTAACAGGAAACATAGATTATTTAACTGCTTTTAATTTTTTACTTGTATGCGGTTCGGGCGTTATATCTCATCTCCCCATATGTGTGTGCTTGTATCATGTGCAGCTTGTGCATGTTTCAATTAATTAGAAACGGCGGCTTTATATGGAAAAATGCTTTATGTGTTCGCTCGAAAGTGTTCGTGTATCATTTACATACGCTTTAAATATTTATATTTTTAATTTGCCGTCCTTTCTCGCTGTCATTGACCTACTTGTCCCCGTACGAATATACAAATTTTCAAAGAGAAATATTAAAATGTTTCCTGTGACCAACCATGCATATATATATATATCTGCAATATATATATTCGGGGTAAGGAATTAAAACCACAATTATCCATAGCTTAATGACTCCATCCACTTTTTTCCGTAGGCAGTTTAGTTAGTGGATGTACTTAAAATTATGTTTGCTTCTTTGTTTTAATAAAAAAAGTCTTAGAAATATTAGATTGTTTAAATACGTTGTCCCCAGTAGCTTCCATCGATCGAATTAACAAATCAATATTTTAATTAATATTTTATATAAGTTGTTTTCGTGCTTACGTTGGCGCAAGATGCATATACAAATGCTTATTTGCTTTCGTAGTCAAAGTACAATACAATACATATGTACTAGTGTATCAAATTTCATCATATGCATTTTACGCAAAAATACTCCTGACCAAACCAACACAGTCGGACTTGTACGTTAACCCTTGATTTCGAAGCTGATAAGCTAACCGTCCTTCTTTTTCCCTACAATGATGTGCTCCATCCATCTAATACTATTATAAAAATTAATGCGCTTTGCATTTTTTTCTCAGGAAGTACGGTTCATACTTATACTCCAAAACATACCAAAACACTCACCTCCTTCAACGTTCGCGTGAAAAAGCTACTAAAGCAACATAGAGGCCCTCAACTTTTTACTGCAAGAACTAACTCAGTGAGTTCCTGGAAATAATTTTCAACTGAGTGTAAAAACGTTGCGTGGGCTTTGCGGAAGCTGTAAATGTACAATATATGACATACTTCGCTTCATCCAATTAAGAAAGGAAATGATTGATTTTTAACTTCTATGCTATCTTATCCTTATCCTGTAATTGTGCTGGGCGTTGCAAACAGTTAAAACACAATCACACACAATTGTTATGCAGTATGCTTGGTGTACACTAAAGGGAGAGGCGGATGTAGTGTTAGCGGATGGACTACAGAGAGCTTGCGGGCTCACGGGCATCAAGAACGTATACGTATATAAATAAAATATTTCAAAATATTTCCCTGCAGCGGATATTGAGTTATAAGTAATGTTCAATTTACTCCTTCAACTTACTCTACTATAGCGGCAAATATGGCTACATCCTTTAATTTTGCTATTAGTAACGGCCGTTGAGCTTCATCGTGTGAGATCTATTCCCAGTTTTCCTCTGCCTCGTGTTGTGAGCCCTCATCACAAGCTCCCTTTATTCAAATAACATTGTAAATAATTGTCCTATTCAGCCTTTGTATAATCTTGGCGTAAATCTTTAGCTACAGTTGCACATATGAATTGTTAGTGGAGATAGATTGCCAGAAGTGGCCTATCCACATTTTTTGAACTTTCCCTATCGTTATGAAATATCCTGATCGGAACTTGTGCATCGGTCCACTCTTGGTGAGGAACTTTTTGCTCTAAGCAATTTAGTTCTTTTATAATTTTAGTGGACTAAATTGTTTGATCAATTATATCTTCCGACTTCTTTCCTTGTCCACATATTATTCGCTCCGCTCCAATTACAGTTTGAGGATTTTCTCTCGAATATTCAATTTTACCTGCTTTCATATTTTGGATTTTAGTAATGGCTGACGTCAAGGCTGGTAACGGTGTGTTTGCGATAATGTTTTCCAAAATCAGCAGTAAATTTGGTCTGGGAGCTTCTAAATGCTGCTGTCGGTAGCTCATATTATAATCAAGGGCTCAATAACCGATCAATAGGAAGGTGATGAGTTTGATCAACAGATACAGATTAAAACACATACATAGTACAGAAAAGATAAATATTCATGAAGGATATCAGAGCGAGCCAAGGCCATCCGTTAGATATCCTACACCATTTCGCTTAACACAATTATTCATTCGTTTTGAAAATAATACACCAAAACTTATAAACTATTTTCAAAATAAATCGTTAAATTAGTAGAAGTCGAAACATCTATAGCTTACGTCCTTTGGCAAATTAGTGTACCAGTCTTCATCAAAATAAGTCAAAAGTGATACCTGTAGGTTGAACACAACACCATATGGACAGATAAACTTAGACCCATTAGCATAATGAAAGCTTTTTCGGGTTGTTCTAATTCTCTGTACACCTATACCACAATTTGTATAAGGTATAACCGACGATTTCCTTTTTTCTTAGTTGATTAACTATGACGGAAGAAAATACAGAAATTTGGAAAATTAAATAAACTAAATTCCTAAGCCACTCTATTAAAATCATGTACTATTAAGAGTTTGTGAAGTTTCTTTACCCTTGATGAATATTAAAAAATGATGGCAATTTCAGAAAATGCAATATATAGAATATTATTATCAATTTAATATATTTGCTGAGGCGGGTACTAAAATAAAATGCAAGCCGTTTACAAAGTAACAATGCGGTGAACACAATAGTACGCAGCAAATTTAAAGCATCGTCAGCTCCATAATAGCGTTAACAATATCATTGTTATTATTCTTAAGAGCCTTAATAGCCTTGGCGCGGGTGGTGTTAGCTTGATTGATAACTAGTTCAATGTCTTTTTCATCGACACCGGTCTCATCAACTTCCTCTTCATCCTCTTCGGCAATAGGAGCAACGGAAGAAGTGGTTATAGTATCAGCAGCACTAGTCGCTTCGGGTGCTTTGAATTTTTCGGCAGCAGCCACTTGAGCCTGCTGAGACAAGTCCTCAATTTTCGCTTCGCCGAATACAATGTAAGTATCACTGTGTGGATTTTTGTAAACGTCGGGATTATTAATGACAAATAAAATATTTTTCGATTTACGAATGGTGACACGATTTACGCCTTGTATTTGTTTTAAACCCAATTTTAACATTATTTTACGAGCTTTTTTTTCGCCACGCGATTGCTTAGCCTTGGAGACCAGATCAATGGGTAAACCGGTGGCGCCGCCGCCCAATTGCGTTGTACCAGTGCTGGCATCTTCCAATTCAGGTATAGTATCCTCTGAATCACTATCACTGCCATCATCTTCCACTACAACGCTAGTGGCCGGCTTTTCTTCAATAATATGGGAAGCGCCAGCAGCAGAAGTAGTCGCAGCATCCGATTGGATCTCAGTTAATTCGGGCATTTTGTGTGTAAACTGAAATATTAAAAAATTTCAACATTAGTTCTGTATATTCAATAACTATTCTTATCGATTTTTAGAAAGACTTTGTAAATTATTGGCAATGATCAATGTCTGCCACTTTCGCTTTTGTATATCGCATTAATATTTAATTATTTCTACAAAGCACTACATTCTTTTAAAGATTTTATTTTATGTTTTATACGGATGTACGAGAAATTTTATGATTGTATATACCTTAAAAGAATTTTACTCAACTCTTAAAAAAAAGCAACTTTTTCAATGAAAAGAATATCTTGAGTTTAAATGTTGCCTAACCTGAAATGCAACTTAATAAAGACACCTATACGTGAGGAATAAATGCCGATGTAAATAAAACAGAGTTGCTTACGTCCTAAATAAACTTTTATTTATTAATGCATTAATATGTGGTTACTACTATATATTAATATTCGGCTTATTATAAATGCATTTGACAACAATGTCTGAAGCGCGTAAGTATACATCTATATAACGAAGATACTTAAAATAGGTCTGTTCAAAAATGGAAAAAAAACGCAACCCTTTAGAAAAAAAATACTAATATTTTCGCAACTTGGGCGGAACCATGGAATAATCGATGGATAAGAGTTGTAGAAGACGAGTATTTCTCACACGAGTCCTATTAAAAATAATAGCGCTTACGACAAAAATAATAGCCTAATGAAAATACTGAAAATACGGAAAGCTCGATTTTTATTTTCATAGTAAATAGCAAGTAAAACGAGCATTTTTTAAATTAGGAAAGTGCCATATTAAAATTCTTCTGCACTTTATGTAAATATTCTACTAGTTTTACGATACATAAGTTAGTTAGTTTGCGCTAATTTCACATAATTCTCTTGCTTAACACATGTCTTGAAAAACACAGTAACAGCGTTGCTATACAACGTTCAACGTACTAACAGTCCTAAACGCAGTAATCTAAACGCAGGTATTCCACAAGATACTGTTCTTCTCTCTTTTTGGATGTCATTAACGACAGTTGAGAATAGAGAGCGCACAGAGTTGCTTTCAATAGAGTGCGTCTCCGGTAGTACTTTGGCACCAGAATTTACTATTATTCTATCCTAATCTGCAATTCTTTGGATTTATATGCGACAAAAAACAGCGGAAATTGTAAAATGAGCGAAATCGCCCTACCTTTTCCATCAGTTACGCATGCTTCGTTATAATCTCCTGTGAGTAACAGGAAACTTTATCTACTCCTTTGTACATGACAGCAACTTATACCACTGTATTCCGTTGATGCATTACTCTTTTATGTTTTAGTAAGTGATTCATTTAGAATTAACCCCAACTGAAATGTTGTTTCCATAACAAATCAAAATAAAATAATGGGATATCAAGTATGAAACGTATCCCGCCCAGTTCGGAACCTACCACCTCCAACGTATTTAAGCGATTTAAATGTGCTGGCATTGACTGAAATCGAAAAAAAGAAAACAAGGAAAGAAAGCAATAAACAATTTCCCCATTTTCGATATACGTAACGCCAGACAAATGATTTTATGACAATGTTTAGACCTATATGACGATTTTGCAAGCGATTTTCTCACCCGTTCTGTTTTGAGTCACGCCGGTGTATAGTAAAATTAAGGCTCTTATATCGTGGGGCAAAGCTTTCTCTAAACTTTCCAAGTCCTGTACAATACATGTTGCCTGTTTGATAAATGGATTCAAATGATCAATTAAATCTGATCCATAAGATGACTCGTTTTTATCTAAGAAGTCATCGGCACTTAAGCTGCCTTCCTCAGCGGATCTGACCGACTCTCTTCTCTGATTCATATAACGTATGTCGATGTCGTCAGAATGCAATGAATGTGTAGGTTTCTGTTTTTATTTCGAACTCGTACACCACCCATTGATTTGTAAACGTTTTACAGATGTTTTTATTTCGAACTCGTACACCACCCATTGATTTGTAAACATTCTACGGATGGTTTTATTTGGAACTTATACCATTCTATATTGGTGGTGTTATAAGTCACTCTTTTTTTCCCCCTATGTAATATTACATTTAATAAGGATCACGTTAATTACTTTAATTTGAATAGTGATGTCTGTGATGCTAATTTTTTTTACAGCAGCTTTATGCGTAATTCGATTTCGATTTTGATATCATATAACAATAGAAATACCGACGTTTTTGCATAAACTTTTCGCATCAAAAGAGATCATTTTAATACTTTTTTGTGCAGAATTACCGCAGTCGCAAAAGGAAAAATAAGAAGGTAAAATTTATCAAAAAGATTTCCTGGCCGATTGAGAACATTCGATCGAAAAAATGGTTGTGCTGTGTACCCACGAACGTGACCACAACAGATTAGAAACCGAGATAAATTCGAAAAAACTCCGGCAAATTCTTAGTATTTTCGTCCATAACTTGCGATCTCATGAATATAGCAACTGACAAAACTACTACCATATTCAGCCCAAAAATTGTGCCGATGCATCAGCTTTACGGTAACTTTGTATTGCGGCATTGGTGTTTTTCAATTCCATAAACTCATGACCCATCCAAGTCCACGCGGCTAAATGGTTTGGCTTAATTTTTAAAGCTTTCTGGAAATACATTATCGCCATTTGATGATCGTATACTGTAATAATTTCCTAAAATGCAAGAAATTATCATTCATACATCTGATACTGAAATACATGCAGGCTTGATTGATACCGCGTTCGGAAAGTTACAGTACCTCTAAAGTAAATAGAGGTCTAGACATTTGGATTGGTCAAGGGTTTGTTTCTACACTGTGATCAAAGTGGTTGCATTAATTTAATCTTAGTTGTAAAAGTGCGTTTTCCTTGGCACAAGTTTCGGGACGATATTTAATCCCCACTGCCTTGTGCGCTACTTAGGCCATTTAGGTTTTCAGTTGCTTAACGAATGATAGATTTGAATATGTGTCCACATTATCTAAATTGTAGGGATCAGCTTCCTGCAGTACTTAGAATATTTCTATTGCTTTGGAAAGATCTAAAAGAAGTTTAAAATAAAGATTTCTTTTTTAATTTTTTTACTAAAACACCTCACAAACCTCGCTTATTATGATAGCTAAGGCCATTTGCGACGTTACATCAACATAATCTCAAAAACCAGTAGCTTTCAGGTCCTTATAAGATTTTAAACCGTGAGCTACGAAAAATCGTTCCGTCCAATGACCGCCAAAATTTAAAGCTTATAACTTTTCTTCTTCCTTGATAAGCGGAGCCAGTTTGGGAATTATTTTCAATTTAAAATGTATTTGTCAAGTCAAAATCTTTAAACAATTCTTTTGCCTTTAAATACGTCAATGAAGTCCATCTCCATGGCTTTTCTTATTTTCTTTTACATTACTTTTTTTTAATATTGTTTCTCATGTATTTGTCGCTTATATTTAGGTTGATTCTTTTATTTTTGTTTCTTAAACTTTACCTTTTCTTACCAAATAAATGATCTTTTGGCTCTCACAGTTTTTACCAATCTCTGTTATTTAAAAAAGGGTCCTTTCATGTGAAATGTGAAAAAAACGATATGTTCTCTCAACACAGAAAAATATTGTATTCTCTCGGAGATTAATGGGTTCACTTTGTTAACGTTTAGGATAACACGTCTATTTCTTCTGTCTCTTGCAATTGCAAAACCAAAGAATCTGAAAAACTTAAAGCACATTGTGACTTCGATCATTACCGATAGCAAGCGAACAGACAAATGCGCTCGTTTAAGCGAATAGTTAAATCCACTAGCATTCTAACTGTAAATTGAAGCGATATTTATGTCATAAGCCTTTCGCTTCGCATTTTAAGGTCATTTAAATTAAAATACAAATTTCTAGCATGCCTTTCTCTCTCTCTCTCTCTCTCTCTCTCTCGCTTTCTCTATTCTTTGGTGGTGCGTGTAGAAAGTATTTAAATTTTAATTTAAATAATTGCTTATGTTTTTCTCCTACCTTACGTGCAAACTTTTGGTTTATAGTATAATTAGCTTTATTTATATTAAAACTAAGACCGTTTTACTGTTCCCCATACACTACAATAAATAAAAAACAAAAGACAAACAGTCCCTGACAAACTAACTTAAATGATATTTTGTTTTTAACGGAAATGTACTCACATGCATTTATAGGCCCATATTTACTTTAATTCAAATTTAATGGAAAATATGTGCATATGTGCGTGCATCTTTGCAATCAACAGTTCAACCTAATCTGAAACTTAAAGTAGTGCAACTTAACCGGCTAAGTTAAAGTATAAACTGAGGCTGAAAGAACAAATTAAAAAACGAATAAAAACCATATAGTAGGCCACGAGCCAACGGTAAATGCCCTACACCACCCTACAGATATTCAGAAAGTAGTCGAAGACCTCGTCCGATCCGAATCATTTTCAAAAGCGTTGGCCGCTGGACCAAAAGACGTTGGTGTCAAGAACAAAAAGACAAGGCAGACAGACGAGTTTATATCGATTCCGAAAGTGCCTTTGAATCGATCAATCCTTCTGAGTATTGCGTACATGCGCACGGATTTAATATACCCTGGTGCACATATATTTTTTCCGATTTTTACAATTTGTGGCTTTGTTGAACAAAGAACTATCAATCGGCCATGAAATGACACTCGGATGTAAATATTAGAAGCGCAATTAACCGATCAATCGAGCGAATATCGTGCAAAAGGTGAGCAAGTCCGCCAAAAACAGCCCAAAAATCAATGTGATGCCAACAGTCTTCTTCGATTATCGTGGTCGTTTTTACTATGAATTCCTTCCGCGGGGCCAAACTGTTAACAAGGAATATTATATGAATGTTTTGCCTCGTTTGGGTGAAGCCATTCGCAAAAAGAGACCGGAATAGGATTAAAAATAAAAAAATAAATTGGTCTTACTTTTTGGACGCAGTAGTATATACTCTTGGGAGTTCAATCTCAAACGTTCAGATAAAAATAAATTTTTAAATCGGCTCAACGACCTCTAAGTAGGAAATTATGTTGGTTCCGTGGTGAACATGTGCAGAAAATATACATTGTGAAGACGTTTCCGTCCCTTTCCTGAAGGCTACGGCAACGCAGCGGCCCAGGGTGATGGAAACATACAAGAAATTTGTATTTCGCAGGGACCTTAATTCTATTCTCTTATTACACTTTACCTTCAGATGCGTCTCTATAAATCTACGACCAAAACTGAACTTCATTAGTCGGCGACTCAAACTCAACTCCCTTAACTAATTTAACCTACACTAACTTGACCTATTCTATTCTTATCCTATCTTAATCTATTCCTATTCTATCTATTTTTATCCTGTGTCTATCCTACTCTTATACTACGTCTATCCTATTCTTAT